ATTATTAATACTATAAATACTTATTATTAGAACTTAACGATATTATAATTATAATGAATGTAATTTAATCTCATTTATAAACTATTTTTATCTATTTTTTATTGTAATAAATATATTTGATTTTCGCTATTATGTATTTTCGCTTTTTTTTACAATTCGCTATTTTTATTTTCGCTATTATCAATTCGCGATTTTTACATTCGCGGTAATTGTTTCGCTATTTTGGCCGGATACCCGAATTTTCACTTATGCTTATTCAAATAATGCATTTTTAAACAATAAGAACTTTTTTTGTATTTATAATATCGAAAAATTAAAAACAGCGTTGACAGTCAAGGACAAATAATTATAAATCATAATACATAGGTAATGACGAAATGTATAAATTATGGAGTACGTACATGCCGTACACCTCTATTATAACCTCTTTCTAATGTAAAAATTTGGCTACTTTACCAGAGTGGTAGAGTGGATCCTACATTCCTACTTCAATAATCCTCATTATTAGTATGTAAAATAATAGTATAATTATGTATGTGAATTCACTGACTTTCGATGACCTTGCTATAAAAAACCATATTATAGGAAAGCGTGTGCACGGATCAAAGGTGAAGACCAGAAATAGCGCACACCTTTATAGTTTGTACGAACGTCATTATAACAAAGTGACTCCGATTAACATAAGTAGGAAAGTCATAGACATAGTAGGGGAGTGAGTGTCGAGCACTAGAGTCGACAAGAGTATATGTACTTGAAGACGGTAAAGGACGTTTGTTATAATTAATAAAGAATACTTTGAGTATACGAAATTTATTTGTGTATCTTTATTATACTTCCAATTCAATTTCGATTGCTAAGGACGTACACCTTACAACACTACCCAAGCAAATCAGTTTATGGTATGTTATACAATATTGTAAGACGGAGACAACACATATGGGTGTAATGTTGTCTTAATATTATCTTACTTAATATACCTTCTTAATAAAATACTCTGGCATATAGGTTGGTAGGTACTATAGGTATAGAGGTACATACCTACTATACTGTATACCTAATATAGTTTTTATTTTTTATGGATTTTATTTATGTAACTATAAAATTTATAACTTTTGAAGTTACCTATATTATGAGGTTTTTCATACAAAAGTTCACCCGAATGTATACATTTACAAACCTTATAACCAGTTCCCATTATAAGCTTATAGATTTGCATATAGTATAAATGCTTTATCATTCATTTTTACCAACTTGTTTAAACATTGGTAGCTTCTAATTATATATCAAATAAATTTAAATATATGATTTATTATTAAATCGAACAATTTAACTTGTTTTAAACCCCTGGCGGCTGGCATGAGTAATATCTCTAAGCTTTAAGTTTAACATATGAAGTAGGTAGGTGTGTGATATTTGTGTATCAGATATATATTTGATTGATGGCAGTATTACACCTGTAAGTTCAATATTGTTTAGCTTGTAGTTTGCATAAAATACTTTTAAAATTGTATTTAAGTATGTACATTCATTCAGAAAATATTCAAAATACTCTTATCACGTTCGTGGTCAGTTACTGTTACAACAGTAGGTAATTTCAATTTTTTTCAATTCTAATGTAATGGGTCACTATACTCTTATAGCAGTAATTTACAAACACACAAAATCGGGCATTCCTGCTCATGCAGTAATATTTCCAACGGTATTATATTCAACTAAACACGTCACTGACCTATTATGATCACTCATAAGTTTGGGGGCACAGATAGATATAAAATTCTATTTTTTTTAATAATTTTTGTTGATATTTTAAAAAGTTAAGTGATTTTCTGAGGAGGGTAAATCCTATACTATAAAACACAAACCCGTGTCGATGAACTGCCCTGGCGATTTTTTGTACCAGCCTAAGAGACTACCAATGAAAAGACTCCGTTTCCCCAGTGGGCGTTGCCCCGAGCCGTCGCTGTATTGTAATATTATATCGGCAAAAAAAAGGGTATTATAATACCAGCTAGACCTCGGACATTGTATTTGTATGGAAAATATTATCGGAAAAAAAAGGTATTTTATTCTATTTATAAAAATAATTTCTGTTTCTTCAGATTTTGAGGACGTTTCGCGTCCCCTCTCGCACATTATTCGCGTTCCCCGCTAAATTTACAGGCCGTACTCCGGCGTGCAAACCGAGCACCACCGTCGCGAGCGTTTTTTGCCGTTTTTGTCAAAAATTCCAGTTTTAACCCTTATTTGGACACGTCTGCCCTCCCCGTTGACGACTTATTCGCGTTCCCCTCTACATTTATAGGCACCGCCGTTGAGTATAGGTATCACAGGCATAAATACATGCGTCGGAAGGTTCGATTTTTTTCGCAAATATCGCGTTCTCAACTTGGTAGGTAGTCAGGTAGGTAGGTAGGTAAAGCACGGCCGTCGGAATTTTTTTTTTGTTATTGCCTTTCGATTTCACATGGGCCAACTTCACGCACGTCGATAGTGCTCTTTCGGAGCGACGTTTATTATTTTCTCAACCTTCGTATCTGGCGCATAGCTTAAATATAAAATGCATACACGTTACACGCGTAGGTACATTTCCACCGTAATTTTTTTAATGTTCACGACCTGTATTTATTGCATTTTTAGATACTTACTCTATAAAAAATATACACAATACAGAAATACAGTAAATAATATTTAATTTATAACAGTAACCGAAACATTTAAAAATTAGTTTAGTAATTACATTTGGTATTGCAGGCATTTATAGTATTTACTACAGTAGGTTAAATTCATTTTTCCAAAAAAATTAGTAATTACATTTGAAAATGTTTACATGCAATGACTCTATATAAAATATGACAATATAAGCTATAAGTTGATTGCATAAGTACACCATACAAAATATATTTTTTACCATATAGCTTAAATCGTTCTACAAACTTTTTTACTTTTCTCATTAAAAATATTTTTCGCCGAATATTTGATTTTGACGAATATTTAAACACAACCAAAGGAATATTTTTATAGTCTTACTTTTTATTTACTTACATACCTATTAAATATTTCATTTAATTATAAATGTATACCTAATATAATGAACTGTAATTATTGTACCTATGGTTACACTCTACAGTGTATATTATGAAATTATATATCATAATGTACAGTTGATTATATTAGGTATATATTTATATTTAAATAAAATATAGGTATAATAGGTATGTACCTAATCAAATAAAAAAGTAAGAGTATAATTAATAGTCTTTTGGTTGTGTTCAATAATACTAAATCATTTAAAAATTTCATAAATTATATTATAAAAAAACCAAATGCCAATTTTTAATAACTTAATTTTTATTCAATTAGGTACCTACCTATATGTTATAGTAGGTAGGTAGTCAGGTAGGTAGGTAGGTAAAGCACGGCCGTCGGAATTTTTTTTTTTTTGTTATTGCCTTTCGATTTCACTTCAGCCTTATCGTATTTAACGAAAATTTTTCGATTTTTTTCGAAATTCGAGTTTCATTTTTACCGGCGCCCTCGTCAGTACTTCGCTCGCATCGAGTGTCGTGGCGGAGATCGGAGAGCGGACAGTGTCGTTATTACTACATATGGAAATGAAAATATTCAAAATGTGTCAGTATATCATATGATTGAAAATGAAAAGTACAAACAAAATCATCGTTACTACACATTTTTTTTATCTTTCCGTGGAATCTTCCTTTCCCAAATGTTTAACAGTTCAATATCCTATAATAGTTCATATAACATCTGTAAAATACCTAGTTTTTAATGTAATTTTTTTAGTTTTACTTTTAATATATTTGTTTTTAATTTAAATCTCAATTGTTTAATTTGTCTGTATGGTTATGAGTGTTCTCAGGTGTTTCTCATTAAATAATATGTACCTAATAGTTATTTATTAATTATAGTTAATCTTACATCAAGATAAAAGTTATAAAAATATTGTTTTATTGCCTAATTAATAAAAACAGTACAAATAATATAGAAAAATCATTCTGACATTGTGTATGTTATAAAATAATAAATTAAGTAATCATGGAAAATCTCTACTATTACTTTTTAAATTACAAAGTACAATATCGATGTTCTATCCAAAAAACAAATGAACAGGATAAATAAAAATATTATTGTAAAATCTGCAGTAGTGGCAGTACCCACATTCTTCACTTCACTCAAAATCTAAACCAATTGGTTAATTTAATGATTTCATTTATTAATGAATAAACTATAGGTACCTACTAAATATATTCACTTACATGTTATCACAACAAACTGCGTCAGTACAACTAATTGAAGGCAACATTTTGAGTGGAGAAGTATCTAAGTTAGTTATATTATCCTATAACAAATATTATAGTCGCCAAAATACAAAATTCAAAATCACTAATTAGCCCAATCAACTTACCTTTTTGAGTAGATTTTCTTTTCCTAAAGCTAATATAGGTATTGCCTTTATTATTTTTTTTTTACTTGGCCTGAATTTTTTACCAAGATATTTTTTCGATTCATTTTTAATATTAAATACACTATTAAAAACAAATGCAAATTACGACACTTCCGTGTGCTCAGGACTTCGATCGTAGGTATAATAAGACAAAATATTGTTCAAATATTAAGTCGTAACCTAGGTTTATACAAAATAATTATTTATAAGAATGTAGCTTAGGTGTTAGGTCTAGTTATGGTGTTTGTGCAGTACTAAGCCATAGGTATAATAGATAAGGAAGAAAAACCTATCGTGTTTGCATCGAGTAAATTATCGACAGATGAAAAAAATTCTCAAATCGATCGAGAGGCATTACCTAGCTATTAAATTTGGAATGAAAAAATTTCATAAATATTTGTTTGGTCGAAAGTTTATTTTAGTATCGGATCATTTGCCGCTAAAGACATGTATTATAATGCATTATTTAATCAAAACAAAAATATTCCAGTACATGATTCGTCAAGACTTCAGAGATGGCCTATAATAGTATCGGGTTATGATTATGAATTTCAATATAGAAAGGGGTCAAAAAGGTACAAATAATGCTGATGCGCTATCGAGATTACCTATAGAGGGAAATATTGATAAAGATTTATTTTCAATAATGTTAGTTGAACAGTTACCATTAACGTTTCACGAAATAGCAAAGGAACCGAGTGAAGACGCTGTTTTAAAAATAGTTTGTGAGCAGGTTAAGTCTGGTTGGGTTGACCATAAAAATTATAAAAACGAGTCAGAACCATATTTTAGTATTAGGTCTGAGTTATCAATTGAAAAGGAATGTTTAATTATAGGAAATAGAGTTTTATTTCCAAATATATTAAGACAGCAAGTGTTAAATATTTTACATAAAAACCATCCAGGTGTAGTACGATCAAAAATGCAGTTAGCTCGATCTTATGTATGGTGGCCAAATATAGATAGTTGTATTGAAAAGTATGTAAAATGCTGTTCACAATGTCAGTTTAATCAAAACGTTAAAAGTAAAAATGGCAAAATGTTTGTCCCCTTTCCGAAGTCAGAAAAACCATGGCAGGCATTGTTAGCGTATTCATATTGATTTTTTGGACTCAAATAAAATAAAATTATTAATTCTAGTAGATAGTGGAAGTAAATGGATTGAATGTTGGGCGTTAAATAATATACAACCGAAACAATGGTAATCATAGTTTTAAGTCGTTGTTTTTGTGCCTTTGAATCACCTGAAATACTTGTGTGCGTTAACGGACCGCCGTTCGGTTAAAAATAATTAAAAACATATTATATTAATAATAGTATGAGGTTATTACATTCGCCACCGTATGATCCGGAGTCAAACGGAGAATACGGTCAGCCTATGATATTACTAATAGTATATATTTTGATGATGATATTATTGTAAATAAAGTAATTTATAGATAATCTATAATTCTTAGATATAAAAGTTGTACATTTTATACATATTTATCTACAAAATAATTATTAAATTTAAATTAATAAATATAAATTTTGTGAAAATTCAAACTTTAAATACTTATAAAATAAAATTGTACCTATGTATTTTTAACATTTTTCAACAGCTATTGTAACGATATATTCAGAGCCTTGTACTAAATTTTCACGCATTTTTACCAAACAAATAAAATTATATTGAAAATTATAGAAAAAAAACTAAAAAAATTGAAAACTGACAATGTCTATGAAAATATAAACATTCAATGAAACTGTCGTGTATCTACAGTTATTCGTTTTAGAATTACAACAAAATAACAAAATCGTTACATGAGAAATCGAGTGAATATCCAATCTTGTAAAAATTTCAACTTCAAACGCTAATAAAAATTTAATATGATTTGCCTGTGAACAGTTTTTTTTTTAATAAATGTAGGAAAACTCATGATTAATCTTGTGTTACATTTTAAAATCTTGGATTTTAAAAGAAAAATTTTTATAAATTTCGAACTCAAAATAATTTTCGTGAATATTAAGTATTTTGTCAATATTTTACAAATTCATTCGTAGGTCGTTTAGGTACTAGGTCAGACTCAAGCGTAATTCACGTGCAGTTAGAATCAGTGGTTAAGAAAAAAATGAGTAAAATGGATCTAGATAAAGCAATTGCTATGATACCTATTTGCACGAGCAAATAGAACGTAGCTGAATTTATAAACATTTGTGAAATCGCAATTAAGGAGACAACGGAAGCAGAAACACCGATATTATTGAAAATAATTACTTCCTGCAAGTTGACAGGGAATGCATTAGAAGTAACAAAATATCGAATTTAGAAACATGGGGAGCAATAAAAACAATATTAGAGGGGGCATTCGAACAGAAAGTATCGGAGAGGGCCCTGTCAATAGCTTTAAACACGGCACGTATGGCCGAGGGAGAAAGTGTGGCAAAATTCGCTATAGTAGAATCGAAGAGTTATATTATTAGGGCTGGGATTTATATGTAATAAAAAACCAAAAATATGTACATATACAATATGTATATGTAATTAAAATTGCCAAAATATGTAGTATAAAATAAAAAATATGTAGTATAAATAAAAATATGTAGTATAAAATAAAAATTTTGTACAAAGAAAAATTTAAAGTTTCGTTAGGAAAATCACGGATAACATTTGAAATTTTAGTTGAAATAGATCGAGCTACTTTAGGCATTATATTTACTAATTTATTATTAAGTCTTTAGTTTTAAATTATAATTTATAACTCGAAATGCAAAGATGTTTTCACAACCACGCGAACACAAGAACTGATAGTCTGTTGGGTACTGTTGTAAATTCGTAAATATATTTTGTCAAATAATTGTATAACATAAAGTATAATCTAACATCATTAAGGTATGGTTATCGAACAGAAACAGATAAGATAAACTAAAATCAAGTTATTAATATTTATTTTAACCTACTTATTTCCTATATGCATTATACACTTACAATTTTCCGAATACCGTTATCGAAATAAAAATGTAAAATATAACTAAACCACTGAAATTGTCAAAATTTACGAAATATGTAAATAAAAACGAAAATTTTACAAAGTATGTAAAAATATGTATTTATGACGAAATATGTAAAAATATGTAAAATAAAATATGTCTTATTTTATTGCAAATCACGTGAAACGAATTTATCATTTGCAATAATTAATTTATCGTGTTTCACTAAAAGTATGTATTTACATACAAATCCCAGCCCTATATATTATAAGCTCTGCGCGGCAAGTACGGTAGGTCTAACTCCAGCCGAGGCAGATATATTGAAGAAACAAACAAAGAAACAGGCAATGATCATATTTATAACAGGGCTACCTCATCACTAGGGCGCGGATTTTTATATAAATACATATTTTTATTGAATGCAGATATTATCTTTGTCCTGATTAAAAACAAGCACGTTACATAACACCCCGAATAAAATGACAATTTTTTATGTTACATATTTTCACATATTTGGTTGTAAATACATATTTCTAAATATTTTATTAAAAAGTACATATTTTGCAAATATTTCATATTTTATAAATGTAGATACTTATTAAATTAACCATCTATCGACTTTATCGACGTCGTACATATTGATTACGATTTTTGATGTACTTATTAAATTTCCAGAAATATTAAAAATAACCATTTATCGACGTCTATCGACTTTATCGACATCGCGCGTCCGTAAATTTGATGTCACCATATCGGTTAGTGTTAGTACTATTCAGTCTGCTGTTGTGCTGTTGTGACGTACTAGCTAAAAATGTTGGTTTACAACACATACAAACTATTAGAAATATTCTTCTAAATACAAATGAAAACAATGGATCAATGGATATTGAATTTGCACCATACAAATCAATTTTAAGACCTAACCGCAAATTTAAATAAATTGCAATATACATTCAAATTTGAAAATCACCAAATGTACATTGTTTCAAACTGTTTCAAAACGACTGCAATGAAGATGAATAAATTAAAGTACAAAAAAAATATGTTATGTAACATAATTCTTTATCTTTATTACTTTTTTTAAATGGTTAAAAATAAATTAAATCAATAAAATTAATTTTTTGTTAAATATTTCATGATTTTTAATACATATTTTGGCAAAAATAACAACATAAATATTTACATATTTTGACTATTTTATTACATAAAAATCGGTGCCCCTACTCATCACCTATATACAGTATTGAAAAGTCGAAATCCAGATACTTTAGAACAATGTTTTAAACTAGCGGTAGATGAAGATCTTGAATTTGATTCTAAATTAGAAATGGAAAAGTTACAGGGAAATATACAAAAACAAAATAATAATGAAAAACAAACGAACGGTAGTAACGAAGAAAAACGGCATAACGATAATAATAGAAATAATAATTTTAATGGGTATAACAATAGATATAGCAATAATAATAGGAACGGAAGTTTTCGCGGCGGACATAATTTTGGACGAAATGTTAACGATAATAATTTTCAACGAAATAATACTAATCAGATTAAAACCGGATGTTACACGTCATGCGGAATATCTAATCATTTTGACTGGAGCAGAAATACAACTTTGATTGAATAGTTTATTGCTGGTCTGGACCTGTAGTAAAAAGATATAGTCAGATAACAGTATAGGAATAGTAATATTAAGTAGATATAAAATATAATAATATAACGATTAATGGAAAATAATATATATATAGGAACAAACGTAAACGTAGAAAAAAAAATGAAAAAAAAGGAAAATTTAGGATTAAATTTTTTATAGAATAATATACAAATACATAAAGGAACATATTAGCATATATTGGACATAATTAACATGGTGATGGAAAAAGAAATATATTAATCTAACTTATTTAAAAAATAATTAACATGGTAATGGAAAAAATATATAACACACCACTATTTTATCATTGCACAAAAAAAAAATATAATGTAATAGATTTTAAGAATTCATATTATATTAACACTAAGATAAGATTATTGTTGTAAAACAAAAACAAAACAAAAAAAGGTGCTCTGCTGTACAGTAGGTTACAAGGAGGTCACTGTATAATGGATGGTATTAAATTTGAATTCAATGATATAATATCATTGTATAAGAAAAACGATTCTGAGCGGAGACGGTATGTCAGTCTAAGTATAAGACATATTATATACTAAACTATGATGTTAAAAAAAATTGACCTATAATAGGTATACCTATAATAAATTCCAAATTAATCTTATCACAATATCTATTAGGTACTTATAATATCTTGTATTACATCTTAAAATCTTAGATTTAAAAAGAAAATTTTTTACGAATTCTTAACTCAAAATAATTTGCTATTTTCTTGATTTTTCCATATTTTGTCAATTTTAGTTTCTGAGTGGAATGATGAATGTATTGATTTTACAATGATGTGTTTTTTTTTAATTTTAATTTTTGTGTGTGTACACGATAAGGAATCGAAATAATGCTTCGATTTTCAACTTCAATATCTTGTTCGATTGGAAAGTGAATATCGATGGTGCATTGAGGAGGTCAAAATTTAAAATTCCCAGTAATTTTCAAAAGCGCCAAGAAAAACAAAAGAAAAATTAAGGGAAAACGGGAATTTTTATCCAAATCGATTTTTCCCAAAATTTAATTTGGTTTATGGTGTCACTTTAAAACAAATGACCATTTTCACTGATTGTTTATATTTGCATTTTCTATACACGATAACATTTTCAAAATATTTTGATTTATTTTGAACTGTTTAGGGACATTTTCATTTTCTATTTTTTTTTTGTTTTTTTCTAAAAATATCAATAAAATTTTTTTTGTTGGCTGTTGGGCCAAAAAGTGTAAAAATGTAATGTAAGGCTCCTGATATATTGTTACAATATCAGTTGAAAAATATTAAAAATACACAGGCACAATTTTTTTTAAAAGCATTTAAAGATCAAATTTTGACAAAATTTATCAAATTTTAAATTGAATAATTATTTTGTAGTTAAAAATTTATAAAATGTTCAACTTTTATATCTGAAGATTGAAAATTTAAAACAAGATTCCAAGTAAGTAGTTAATTCTGTTACCAAAAAACCTAAAAAATA